GTGTGTGTGTGTGTGTGTGTGTGTGTGTGTGTGTGTGTGTGTGTGTGTGTGTGTGTGTGTGTGTGTGTGTGTGTGTGTGTGCGGGGGTGGGGGGGTGAATGACTCAGTGTCACCGTGGTGACAGAACTCAGAGCCAACATGGCCGCCACTATGAGGACGTTGTTGCTGCTCGTTACTGATGCTGTGCATCGAGCTTTACTTCCTTTTATTACCCGTTTACAGAGGCATGCTAGGAAATCCACTACAGCCACAGAGGAGTCCGAAAACCTGATCAGACCGGATGAAACTACATAAAGAGCAGACTCCTGTAGAGCCCGGCGGTGCGGACTGGCTGCTCTGTGGCCTTGGTGGGTTTCCGAGCGTCGACAGAATTCGTGCGAGTCGTTCGGTTCATTTGCACACTTTAAAGTTTTGAATGTTTGTGTGAAAATAAAACTGACAGAAAACAAACTTGTTTTATTGTGAAGTTTTTCTGCGGAGACTTCCTGTTTTATCGTCACTGATGAGGTCATCAATAAAGGAACTCTCTGCCTGTGAAATAATAGCGTAGCCACATGATGTCACTTGGCGGTTTTGCTGCGTGTTGCTGCTGTCACTGATGTCTCGGGGTCCACAGTGGCGACTCGATCTTCGACACAGGTGTGGGTCACCAATGTGTGTGAAGACAAACCGAGGCAAAAAGAGGCTCCAGCATCTGTTTCAAGAAACTTTAATATCCTGAGGTAGAAGAAACTTGGTGTGAACAGTCTGTGTGCAAGTGACCTCAGTGATGAGGGTCACTCACACCATGGCTCAGATTGGTTGGTGGGCAGGGTGCAATGTGTGTCAGGGGGGATAACAGTCTTCCCCCAGGGGAAGAAGCTGTTCGTCTGGAGGTGTGCGACCTGACTGAATTGAATTCAGAGGGTCCAACGGGCGGTGGGCAGTTCACTGGTTTACCTGAGACAGGAGGATCTGGCGATGCCATCCAGGGGTGTCAGATGGCAGTCAGTGCTTTTTTGGGTGGTGTTAATGACCCTCTCTGCTGCCTTCCTGTTCTTAGTCGTGGCCCCTGAGCACCAAACACCAGGCAGGAGAGCACGCTCTCCACTGAGGAGCAGCAGCAGGTCCTGGTCCAGGTCTTCATCTGGCTCTTGATGAAGGCGTTCCCACTTTCTCCCTCTTGCATGTGACAAATGAAGGCTTTCTTGAGGTTCTTCTTCCTCAGGACACCGAGGACGTGCTGCCACTGCTGGGCCTCCTTTACCACGGCGATGGTGTTGTAGGTTGGAGGTGAGATCAGGGGAGATGTAGGTGTCCAGAAACCTGAAGGTGGAAACAGATTCTACCTGTCCTCCGTTTATAATGAGGGGGGAAGTGGACCTGTCTGTGCCTCCTGAGGTCCATTATAAGTTCTTTGGTTTTAAGGATGTTCAGCTTCAGGTTATTCTCTGGATCCCAGGATCAGGGAATCTGAAGGTGGTCCAGTTTGGTGTTGAGCATCTTCCTCTTCTCCAGATAGCTCAGCGCTGTGTGAAGGGTGATGGCATCCTCCGTGGGGTCGAGGGAGGGGGTAGACAGTCTGTGATGTGTGAGACACTACCCACTCGAAGCACAAGATGAGTACTACAACTCCAACACACGGATAAATACAGATTGTAGGAGGATGACGAGATTATCCATTTAAATGTCTTCACTGGAAGTGATGCACAAAAACAGGCCAGATAAACTGATTTTTTTAGAGGAGGAAAGGAGGACGGCAGGTGGCGCTGCTCACAGGAAACGGCGGCGGCTCGTTTATTTTTTTTTATTTTTTTTTGAACCATAGAAGAAGAAGAGAGCGTTATCCGCAGAAAAAGAAGCGGCTAAGAGTTTGTGCTTCAGCTCCAGACTTCAGGCTCAAACCGAACCTGAAAGACTCGAAGGACCCCAGAACACCGGCCCGGACCCAGCGGGGCTGCGAGGCCCGACCCGGTAAGTGAAGCTCGGTTCTAGCTGTAGAACCGTAGAGCCCCGGGGAGCCAACAGGCTAACAGATAGCATTAAGGTTACCAGAAAACAGGCTCTTATTTTGAAAGGGCGACAAGCGATTGAGTTACTTTAGAAATGATTTCACGAAAAAAATAAAATAAAAATGAACACAAAAAGCGGCACGGTGTGTGATCTGTGTGTAAAAAACAAAAACAAAAAAAACCCCCGTGTGTGTTTTTAAATATATAAGTAAAACAACAAAGTAAAAACAAAATACGAATAAATATGTTTAAAAGCTGACAGGAAGGAACAGGCTCTACCTGTCAGACAGGTGTAACTGTCAGTGAGGCGTTTGTGTGACGCGCTGGCAGCTGATTGGTCTGTAATGCTGTGTGTGTGTGCGTGCAAACTAAAATAATGTGGAAAAACTTTATCATGAGCTGAGATGATGAAGCTGACGACTGCTGAGATTCTCAGGAAAGTGTTCTCATGCAGAGTTTCCATCTGAGTATCCTTTGTAATATTACTATTCAGAGTAATCTGAATATCCTGAGTATGCTGAGCAGTGCGAGTCAATTTACTTGAAAAAAGTAACCAAATACTAGTTGCTGATTAATTCACCAGAAATAATCCAGTTAATTTACTGATTGCTTATTTTCAAAAGTAATTAGTTACTTCATTACTTAGTTACTTTTTAAAACTTGATACACAACCTGAATACGTAATAACGTCATAGATCTTTCAGCCCAGTTCTATTTTTTTCTGTATAATCCATCATATAAAATGTAATCAAATGAAAAAGTCTCTTTTTAAAATTGTTTTAATCGATTTAAACTTTTAACTTTATGCTTCAAGCACGAATTAAATTATTTCAACTGTCTTTGACGGGAAGAAATGTTTAACATTTAAAGCTATGTTCTGCATATTCCAGCGTATAAAATAAAATCACGTTTTGTGTTTGCACTCTTTCAAATAGATGCAAGTAAAACACAGCAGAAAATGAATAAAATCAAAGACTCAGCAGTTCTTAAATCTACTGTCAGCTGTTGAGCAGGAGTGGGGCGGGTGGAGGTTTGCCCACAGCGGTCATGTCAGTGGGAGGATCCGGGGGTTTCTCTGCTCGCTCAGATTTGAAGTTTCATTTGTCGCTGTAGAAGTTTTCTTCCCACGCAGAGTGAACAGCAGACGCTCATAGGGCTGCTCGATTATGGCAAAAATTATAATCACGATTATTTTCACTGAAATTGAGATCACGATTATATGACGATATTTATTTAACCCTTTAAGACCTACCATAGAACCAAGTCCACCAGAGCTTATATTATTGTTTTACATGTTGTAGTGCCATTTGTGGGAGCATTTTAAGTTGCTATACATCAATACAACTGTTATAGCCCATATTTTAATAATATGATTGTATTAAGTCCATAGTAACTACATTAATTGCAAACAAGTGCAATAAACTACAAAAAAATTGAAAATCGTTTTTGTTTTTTTTACATATATTTCTTCTTGGAGAAATTTAAGAGGTTTATCCCTCAAAACTTTAAATACTTTTAAAAAAAGTTGCAAAAAATAGTTTACAACTACAGGAAATTTATTTTGAGTGTCTTCATAGTTTTATTTTGGGGATACACCAATTTTTACATACTGCAGGAAAAACAAAAAAACAATCCTATGATGCAAATTTGCAAAGAAAACAGCAGGTGCATCAAAATAAACTATTTCCAGCAGTGCAATTCGAGTTCTAAGCATCCCAGAAACTATTCAGAAAAGTCAAACATGGCTTATAAAAACACAAGTATAGGCTTTTGAAGCCTACAAGTAAAAAACTACATTTTCCGCGAAAATGACGTCACTTCCGGTTTCGGGCAGGAAACGCGATAGTTCGCGTTGACGCCTTTTTCACTGTGGGAAGTGTCACGAACAGCTGATCGGATCGGCAAAACGTGTGTCTGGAATATTGTTTTTGTTCCCGCAAGTGCTTTTTATGCAATTTTTGCAAAGCTATATGTGGAAGCAAACCGTGACCGAGGGCAAGCTGAGGGCATAAGATGTAAGTACAACTCCTCTGGTTTTATATGCAAAAAAAATTATTGCGCTAGCTTACAGGTTCAGGTTCTACAGGGATTTAAAAATAGTTACACAAAACGGAGCGTGCTGCTCTGACCGGCTTTAAAGGGTTAACAATAACAATGTATTGAATAATGACTTTAAAAAATAATATAAAACAGTGTGCAAATACTGATAACAGTGCAAATGTTTGCAATATAAGAAATAAATGAAAAATGTAAACATCTATGTTTAGTGAACTTTGCAGTGTTGCTCTGTGGTGCAGCTACGACACCATAGCAAAGTTTATAAACTCGAACCCATAATGTTTCCACACCACTGAAGTTTTTTTTTTTTTACCTCGCTTTTCAACCAACGGCAGTCACTCTCCTCTCCAAATAACTTTCCGAGCTTCCCTCGGGTCCTCTTAATTGTTGTGATGCGTGTTCGAAATGCAGAGAGGTGCGCTCGATTTACCACACGGAGCAGCGCGAGAGTAAAGCACGAGGCAGGGAGGGGCTAATAATCGGCTCAGTCATTTTTAATGAACGTTGAAAGCCCAGATCGTAATCGTGATTAAAATTCGATTAATTGAGCAGCCCTAGACACTCGTCTTTCTGTCACTTTTTACAGAATCCAACTCAAAGTAATGTGATTACTTCCTCGCTTTAAACGCGGCATGGTTGTACTCTCTCCATCACGCCATGTGATCCATTGTTGATCTGCACACGTCTGTTACCACGGACGCCGCACGCTCGTACGTCACTCATGAGACACTGACAAACAAAATCACGGTTTAGTAACGCAGTAACGCTGCGTGCTTATGGGAAAGTAACAGTAATCTAATTACTTTTTTGCAATAGCAATC